ATGTCAGCTGGCGGAGAGGCGGGGGTTACGACGGGGGCTTGGTGGAGTCTCCGAGAGCCGCCAGCAAAGGGGTTCCATTTTCCTGCTTTGGTGAGACCCGGCTGGGGAGGAGCGTCCCACCGTACAGGGACGATGCCACACTTCCGGTGGAGGGTGGGCGAAGCTCCGCTGGAGGCAGGTTGCAATCGGTGGGTCGCAGGCCAGGCGGCTGCAGCGGGAAGGCCACCGGGAAGCTGGCCATGTACAGCACGCGGCCCACCCTCTTGGCCACCTGGGGAGAAACCACAAGGGGGGAGATGCTCGTGAGCGAGGACAGGAAACGCCCCACCGCGTAAAGCGCGCGCGTGGATTTGGCACAGCCGACAGCTGGGAATTTGGGAGACAGACGCCCAACCCAAGGTGGACTAAGGTGGCAAGGGTTTGGGGGGAAAAAATTAAATAAAAAGCGTGCCCATCATTCAGCATCGTCCCCTCCCAGCGCTGAAGCACCGAGAACTAACTGCTCTGCCACAAAGAGGGGGCCCACCCAATATCAGCCACAGGCTTTAAAGCCTTGTGGGTCACTCCACAGGACTGGAAGCTTGAGGGGGAAAACAGAAAGAAGCAAAACACGGAGGGCATCTCGTGCAAAAAATGTGAGGGAGTTTTGCATGATGCAAACAGCATTTCTCCACGCAAACTCTATCTTGGAGTCCGGTGCGCCTACAGAACCCCAACTGAAGGCTATTCAACCTGCAAGGGTGTGTGTGGGTGTGTGTGTGGGTGTGTGGGTGTGTGTGTGTGTGTGTGTGTGTGTGTGTAGGGGGGCACTGTGAAGAGAGACCCAAGGCCTTGGCAGCAGATCCAGGCACGCCTCCGTCTTCAGGAGTTTGGGACTCAGCAGCGCCCAGGGCAAGACACCACCTCTCCACCCCGAACTTCCGAAGCACCCTGCTGCCCCTGCACAAGTCCTGCCCCTTCGGTGCCTTTTCGGGTCCCACCTGACAGCTGCGGGGCCCTGGGGACTGTCACCCTTCCCAGCTTGCGGGGCCCCTCCCAGGCCACGGTGCACTGGCTACACCCCAAAGGGTGCGCGCGGCAAACACCACCAACCGCTCGGCGCCCCGAGCAATAAATCTCGTCTGCCGACGCGGCTGCCCTGCTCCTCTCGCCCACCGCCGTATACATTTGTTTTATTATGTTAAAACAATAAGGGCTGCTTTATTACCGCCTCACTGTTTACGAGGGATCTAATAAAAAGGTTCTTTGGGCAATCGTTCCCTGTGGAACGATTTTGCTGGAAATAACACTGATTCAAAGGAAGGAGGGAACAGGGAGCCCGGGCGCGCGACCCCGACACGGGCCGAAAGGGACCCGCCGGGTCCTTCGGGGAGGATTCGCAGCCATAGCCGGAGGAGGGGGAATGAACTCATCCTCCTCCTTCTGGAGAACATGCGCTTTTTGCAAGCCTCTTTTTGCTCGGAGATCAGCCCGGGCGGGTCGTTAATAACGGGAGGAGAAACGGGAGTGGGGGGCGCTGGGCAAGGGGTGCAGGCCTTGCAGAGCGGGGAGCACCCTCAAAAACCCAGCCTCAGAGACCAACAGAGCCCTTCTGAGCTTCCCGCCCCAACGCTCCACCAACTCGAGATTGGGTTGATGCATTTCGCCAAGCTACGGTGGTTGAACCGGGGCGGAGCGAATCAACTGCTCGACTTCAATAAAGGCACCGGACGCAGTTCACGGCGGGGTTCGGCAGCCTGGTAAGCCGCAAACCACCTTGGCTGCGTGTTCACACAACACGCTGAACCCCGGTTCGGGCTGAACGGGCAGCCTAGCAGGGCTGCTAGGGGATGGTACCACCCAAGTAGCGGGGAGGAGACCCTTTCCGAAGTTCTCCTGCTTCAGGTTTAAAAGGGGGGAAAAAAATGCAATACGCTGGAAAAGAAGCTTGAACCACGCCCGACCCTCCATCAGCTAGTTTTCTACTTTCAGGGTCTTTGTTCTTCTTAGAGGATCATTCAAAAATGCATTCCCCCCATTCATCTGCCTGCAGTGGTACAGTCCATTTGGACATTTGAGTGTGCCACAGATCTCTGGCTGCATGTCTATTTAAGGCAGTGTTTCTCAACCTTGGCCCCTTTAAGAGGGGTGGACTTCAACTCCCAGAATTCCCCAGCCAGCTTT